GTTTAGCTTATAAAGAATATCTATTTGGTACTTGTAGGCTTCGTGAGTATTTGGAAACATAAAAGTGGTAGAGCTCTAGCCATGAGTACATCCAAGGGAAACCTTTCTTCATCAGGGGACATCTCCAAGCAGGAGGATGAACCCGACCACCTTCTTGTTCTTGTTCACGGCATCCTCGCAAGGTGTGGCGTCTCATTTAGCCGATTCATAAGAAATTATGGGTGCTTTAGTCATATAGTTCAAGATATATTCATGTTGTCCATTTTAACTTTGATTGAAGTTGCTTAGTATTGCAGCCCCAAGGATTGGTTATACTTTGAAGCAGCGTTGAAGAGACGATTAGGGAAGAAATTTCTGATATATGGTATATTATTTAATCGAAAAAGTATATTCCTGAAATGTAGCCGCACAAGTTTTGATTTTATCCTTTATTATGTTTCCGTAACATTTGAAGCTTGAGGAGTATATAAGAATTCGCTTATATATCTGCAGCGAGTTCAAGTAATACATTCACTAAGACATTCACGGGAATTGATGGTTCTGGACAACGACTGGCAGATGAAGTAAGTATAGGGATGAAATTTGACGTATCTTTTGCAATAGCAGGTTTAAACCATATTTTATTTTGACCTTCTGTTTACATATATTAGTTTTTATCCTTCCTAGTTCAAATAGTTGATCAATAAAATTGGTTGTGAAGTTGGGTTAACAAGGCCCATGAATATTACGATTAAGTTTGAATAAACAATTGTGCCGTACGAACGAAATGCATAATGTTGTTGTTGGGTTTGGTGAAGAACGTCGATGGTTGTGCAACAAATCAAATATCTAAGAATTGGATCATAAGCTCACGGATCTAAAGTTAGGATTCGAATCTTACGTCTTAAACTTTGCCGACTCTGAACTTATACGGTCTACGGGACCGGTATGACCTCTTGGTCTTTTGTTGTATGTCCTGACACATCTCCTCGCTCCTCGCCCTTTGCTCGTCTACGTGGGGGACGACTATGTTGGGTTCGGCGAAGAACGTTAGTTATTGTTCTCTAATTGTACCTAAGAACTTAATCCTAAGCGCAACGGAATCTAAAAATTAGGATCAAGATCTTATGATTTCTTAATATAGCCGACTCTGAGACGACTTACACGGGCTACGGGCCAGACGAACGGCTTTGAGATGTTCTTCAACCTCCTCGTCCACTCGTACGTGCTCTGTCTCCGACCGTTGGTTGCTGCTCTTCGCCGCTCGCGCTCGCCCCGTTGTGCGCTGCTGCTCGCATGTGCCGCCAGTGGTCTCGTTCATTGCCAATGTCTTGCGTGCTGCATCGTTGCTCAGGCGTTGCCCGTGGTCTCGCGTGGTTGCGTGCGTAGTGTGCGGGTGTCGTGTGATGTCCATCACCTCAAGTCTAAATACATTTCAATGTTCTAAATACATTTCAATGTTCTGGCGGAGGACTAGGGCCTAGCCTAGTGGGGGTAGACGGCACCTAAACGGGATTGTAAAATATTAATAATTATTTATATCATTATCATCATACATTATTTATAAGATGCAATATGTGAAAGATGCTAATTACGGTTAAATATAAAGATTTTCTAAATTACTTATATATATTCTATTAATATTAACATGATTATGATTTTTTTAATTTTATAGTTATTGTATATTTCACATATAAATATCATAACCTATTTTTATTATTTTTTTGAAGATGATGAAAAACAATGTAGAAAAAAAAATGTAATCAACTAGACGGCTCCTAAAACCAGTTTAGGCTTGACTAACTTTGCAGCAACCTAGCTAGTAGGCAATGTCTAATTGCTCCACGCCTAGAAAGGCCATGTCGACAATAATCATGGCTCTCGGGTTCCGTCTAGTGCCTAGTTCGATTTTAGAACACCGATGTATTTATATAAAAAATTTGATAATTTCTTTTTCACTATTGTCCCTTTGTTGAAGGTGGTCTTTTTTCAAACATAAAATTTCGTAATGAACAGGTTAGGGAGGTTGTGAAGAAAACAGAGGGCCTAAAGAAGATATCTTTTTTGTCCCATTCGCTCGGTGGTTTATTTGCAAGATATGCTATTGCTGTTTTGTACACTCCTCATGCTATCTCTTATCAATCTGATGATCTTACTCGTCCGACTCCTGAAAAAATAGAAAACTTGAATTTTTTGAATAAAGGTTTTGTTGCTGGTTTGGAAGCAATCAATTTCATTACTTTGGCCACACCTCATCTTGGAGTGAGAGGAAAAAAACAGGTATGCATGTTGCTCATGAGTATCAATAACACTCATGTTTCAGTCAAGTGTTTTCTCCCTATAGTTATGAACCAATGGTTTCTTTTTAATCTTTTAATTGTGCATATGCTATTTTTTGGAACTATCGATTTACTTTGAATTGTTTCATTTGATTCATACTGTTTTTGCTTTGGTATGAATTCCCGTCTCTGTTATCAATGTGGTTGTGGTCCAGTTGATGGACCAAGTTCTACAAGAAGTTGGTAAATTATGCAATGTGCAGAGAAGCTAAATGATAAATTAGCCGACAGTGTGTGTGTGTAGTGAATGAGTTGTAAAATACTTATTTATTTATTAAACTAGTAGACTTAGAAATGTAAGTTACTCTCTTCATTTTATCTTGGACATGAGCTCCAGAGATTTCATTTTGGTTTTAATTGTTATGGTTTAGAATCTGAACTCCAGAAATTTAATTTTTCTTCAATAATCCAGCTTCCCTTTCTTCTTGGTGTGCCTTTGCTGGAGAAACTGGCGGCCCCTCTTGCCCCGATTTTTACTGGTCGAACGGGCAGACAACTCTTCCTAACTGATGGCAAGTCCAACAGACCACCTCTCTTATTGAGAATGACTTGTGATTGTGCAGATGGGAAGTTTATGTGAGCATATTTATTCCGTAATCTGTATATGCTTTTAGTCCGGGGGATAATTACAAAAGGAAACCCCAAGGTTTGAGGTACTTACAAAAAGGCGGTAGAGAAACTTCACAATTTCAATAAAGCCCTTAAATGTGTGGACGAATTTAGACTCAATGTAATTTTTTTGTGAAGCGGCAAAAACCTCAAACAGGGGTAGTTTGGTTAATTATACCTTAAATGGACTTGTATATTGACATTAAACTTACTGTGGTGGATTATGTACAGATCTTCACTTGGCGCTTTCAGATGTCGTGTTCTTTATGCCAACGTCTCGTATGACCGTATCCTCATCGTCTAAGAGATGTTTTTGCCAATACTGGAATTTGTTCTGTAATTTGCATTTTAGCATTGAAATTCTTAACGAATATAGATATGGTTGGTTGGCGCACATCGTCCATACGAAGAGAAAAAGAACTCTGTAAGGTAAATGAAGGGGTAACTAGTTTCCTTTTATGGGATGCCATGTCAGTTTAAAAGGGAAAAGAAATGGAGTATTGCTCCTTTTGACAACTGTTGTGTGACCTTTTATTTTTAAACTGGCAGCCTCCAAGTAGGTCCTTGGATGGGTACAAGCATGTTGTGGATGTGAACTATTGCCCGCCTGTATTGTCTGAGAGTCCCAATTTCCCTCCAGAAGCTGCGAGAGCAAAGGAGGCCGCGCAAAAGAAGCCGAGCATACAGAATACAGTGGAGTACCATGAGATTATGGAGGGTAAAATTGTCAAATATGTTGTTTTGTATAAATCATGATGTAATTATTAAAAGGCTATAATTGTTCTCTCTATGTCACAGAGCAAATGATACGAGGCTTACAACAAGTAGGTTGGATGAAAGTCGATGTGAGTTTCCACTCGGCATTCTGGCCCTTCTTCGCGCACAACAATATCCACGTAAGTACCTTTTTGGTATTTGTTTTGGTTGCCAAATTTATATGATCTTGCTTTATTTCATTCGTATGGCGTTGGACAGGTGAAAAATGAATGGTTTCATAATGCGGGAGCAGGAGTGGTTGCTCATGTTGCCGATACCATAAGACAACAGGAAGAAAAGCTGCAAAATCCATCTTCCTCCTATATTGCTGCTAGTTTGTAATACTGTCATATTTCTTTCTAAATTTCGTTTCATTTTCGGAATTTCAGGTATTTCCATGTTTGTCCCGACATATATGATTCTCATTTTAAGAATTAAAATCTGATTAATACATCCACTGTTTATTATATACGACTGCACTAGTATTATTTGTTAATAATGGATGATATCCCATGCTTAGGTTATTCCAAATCGTAAAATTTCTTATAAAATTCAAGCGCCAAATCCGTAGGCGCAGTTTGAAAACAGTTCCACTGGATTTCTTCATCACCATTGGGTTTGCATTGTGTACAATCTCAGGTACCAAATAAGCAAAACGGGAGTACTACAAAATTGACAATCTGTGCATTCTTACACGAAAAAAATAGCTATTTTCACTTTCACTTTGAAGATGAACTATTTTTTTTCATACTGTCAATTAACAAACAATGTTAGTTGATAAGTTAACTTTTTTATCCTACTAAGTATGAAATAAATTATGTGATAAAATTATACGACAGAGGCGAAGATAAAATTATACAATAGAGGCGAAGCTAATTGATAAAGTAAGTAATAATTATGAAATAAGAATGCGATAGACATACAAAGTTGTTTGAGCGTGTGTGATTTACTTATGCGGTAAACTATGCGGCAAACAAGCGAATATAATTGATAAAGTGTAGAATATTTATGCGATAAAGCTTCAGCGGAAACTGCCTTAGAGCCCGTCCCTGGACTTGTGAAACTACCTTTTAGGGCTAGGTCTTCTTCTCTCTATCCTTGCTTCATGGCAGCATACGAGCTCAGAGAATTGTCACCGATTCAGGACTTCTCGGACCATCAGAAGAAGAATTAGGCCAAAAATTAGGATACATTCTGGGAAAATCAAACTTCCACCGAAGAGAAGCAAATGAATGAAAGGCTTTCATATAAATTCGCACAGACGGCCAAACCTTTTTAATGGCTTGGATAATAGCTTGGTATAGACCAAGGTTTCATTTGATATGCACTATCAAACGCGTCGGATAAGTCATAACAAGTATATGAATCTTCTTCACTATTACATGACAGACAGACATACGGAGTAAATTAATAAAATGTGTAATGTTATGAGATAAGTATGCGACAACAGAGAGACAAAGTTAATTGAGCAAGTGCAAATTACTTATGCGATACATTATGCGACAAACAAACGAATCTAATTGATAGTGTGATGCGACAACAGAGAGACGAAGTTAATCGATCAAGTGCGAATTTTTTATGTGACAGACAGATGAAGTTACTTGATTAATGTTAAATAATTATATGATAAATATGCGATAGATAGACAAAGTTAGTTGAGCAAGTGTGAATTACTTATGCGACAAATAGGCGAACATAATCAAGCAAGCGCGATTTCCTTATGGGATAAAATATGTGATAAATAGACAAAGTTAATTGAGAAAGTGCCAAATAAATATATGATAAACTATGCGATAGACAAACGAAGATAATCGAGCAAGTGCAATCTCTTTATGAGACAAATATGCAATAGACATTCGAAGTTAACTGAGCAAGTGAATAATTATGCGATAAACAATGCGACATACAAGCGAAGGTAGTTGAGAAAATGTGAAATAATTATACGATAAACTATGCGACAGAAAGACGAAGATAGTTGAGCAAGTGCGATCTCGTATAAAATATCTGACAAATATGCGAAGATAATTGAGGAAGTGCGTACAAATTATGCAATAAAACTATGTGACATGTTGGCGACGAATATGTAGAGAACTGTGTGAACAGTTCAGTCAATCGCGGGTCTGTTGTAGATCAACTTCTTGCACCTACTTTTTACATTTTCCAGTTTCTCCTCAATTATATCAGTTTTTCGTGTAAGCCATAAAAAGGTCATCATCTCAGGAACATTGTATAAGAACCACGTGAAGGAAGTTTTCAACATCTCGAATTCCCAAAGTTTCTAAGAATGAGTATCCCCAAAGTAATAAGGCGACGAAAGTGTTAGGATCTATGAGGAT